GATTGACTTATTTTGCTTAGCATAATACCCTCTAGTTCCATCCATGTTGTTGCAGGTGTCAAGATTTTGGGATATTCAATGGCTGCATAGTATTCCGTTGTGTGTGTGTGTGTGTGTGTGTGTGTGTGTGTGTGTGTGTACGACATCTTCTTTATCCATTCATGTGTTGATGGACATCTAGGTTCTAGATGACTTTTTAAAAATTATGAATGGATGTAAGATTTTGTTAAATATGAATTCTGAATCTATTTGAGACTGCCATGGGTTGTTTGTTTGTTTGTTTGTATTCTATTAATATAATGTGTTGGATTGGTTATTCTTGGACATTAAATTAACCTTACATCCTCAGGATAAATGCCATTTTGTCACTGTGTAGTAATTTTATAGTATGCTCTGAAACAGATTTGTTAATATTTTGTTAAGGAATTTTTATGCTTATGTTTATGGGTGGTATTAGCCCATATTGTTTTGTTTTGTATTGTTTTCTTGTGATGTTTTTCATTGGCTTTAGTAGCAGTATACATAGAATGAATTGGTGTTTCCTTCTCCATTTTCTGAAAGTTTGTGAAGAATTGGTATTATGTGGTCTTTAAATAGTTGATAGAATTCCCCCAGTGAGGTGCCTGGGTGTCTCAGTCAGTTAGCCATCTCCCTTCAGCTCAGGTCTTGATCCCAGGGTCCTGAGATCCAGCCCTACATCCAGTTCTCTGCTCGACAGGGAGTCTGCTGCTCCCTCTGCCTCTGCCTGCTGTTCCCCCAGTTTGTGCTCTCTCTCTTCAAATAAATAAATGAAATCCTTATCTTTAAAAATAAAAATAAAATCTCCAAGAAAATTTCCAAAGTTTAAAAAAAAAAAAAAAAGAGAGAAGAAGAATTCCCCCAGTGAAGGCACGTGTGTATGAGTTTTTTCTTTCTTGGGAGATTTTTAATTACAACTTGATTTTATTCATTTGCTGAAGACCTATTAAGGTTTTGTATTTTAAAGGTCAGTGTTGGTAATTTGTGTCTTTCTAGGAATTTTTTCAGTTCATTTATGTTGACAAGTTTTTGGCAAAAATTTATAATATTCTTTATAGTATTTTAACTCATTTATGATAGTGATCTTTTCCCCTTATTCCTTGTTTTTTTTAAAGATTTTATTTATTTTTATTTTGAAGATTTTATTTCTTTTTTTGACAGGCAGAGATCACAAGTAGGCAGAGAGGCAGGCAGAGAGAGAGGAGGAAGCAGGCTCCCTGCTGAGCAGAGAGCCCAATGCGGGGGCTCAATCCCAGGACCCTGGGATTATGACCTGAGCCGAAGGCAGAGGCTTTAACCCACTGAGCCACCCAGGCACCCCTTATTCCTTGTTTTTGAAATTTGGGCTTTACTTTTTGTTTTCTTAATCGAAACTATACTTGAAAATACTACTAATAAGGAAATTCTAACTCAGACTGACTCAGAAAGCTCAGGGAGCTCACTGAGATACCATCAAGGGATGGAGAAAGAACTTTTGAAGGCACAGGGGATAAAAACAAAATGATTTCTTGATTAGATTATGTAAGCCAAAAACTATTAATAAGCTGGTTATTAAATATAAACAGCATGCATCAATAATAATTAGAATTTAAATGATTTGACTACAAAGAACACAGCAATTAGTCATGTAAGATTTTTTTCTTTTTTAAAGATTTTATTTATTTATTTGACAGAGATCACAAGCAGGCAGAGAAGCAGGTAGAGAAAGAGAGAGAGAGGGAAGTAGGCTCCCCGCCGAGCAGAAAGCCCAATGCGGGGCTTGATCCCAGGACCCTGGGATCATGACCTGAGCTGAAAGCAGAGGCTTTAACCCACTGAGCCACCCAGGTGCCCCAAGATTTTGTTTTTTGAAAATTCACTAAATTTAGGGATGCCTGTGTAGCTCAGTCCATTAAGCATCTGCCTTCAGTTTAGGTCATGATTTCAGGATCTTGGATCTAGTCCCACACTAGGCTCCTTGCTCAGGAGGGAGCCTGCATCTCCCTCTGCCTGCTGCTCCCCCTGCTTCTGCATGCTCTCTCACTCTCTCTGTCTCTCTGTTGAATAAATAAATAAAATATTTAAAAAGAAATAAAATAAGGGGCGCCTGGGTGGCTCAGTGGGTTAAAGCCTCTGCCTTCGGCTCAGGTCATGATCCCAGGGTCCTGGGATTGAGCCCATATTGGGATCTCTGCTCAGCAGGGAGCCTGCTTCCTCCTCTCTCTCTCTGCCTGCCTCTCTGCCTACATGTGATCTCTGTCTGTCAACAAATAAATAAAATCTTTTAAAAATAAAATAAAATAAAATTTACTAAATTTATATTTAAACTTTCCCCTAAGTATTCAGTGATAACTAGTTTCTACATGGTGAAAATGTTATGATAATGCTCATGCTAAGTCGTGATTAAACAAATTTTATCATTGCTGTCCCAAATACAGATAAGATGAGTCAGATGAAAAAGGGTCATTAGTTCCTCAACAAAATTTTCTGAATTATATGCATAAATGAAAAAAATCTATATGACTCCAACAAATTGCATTTTCTTGTTAAAAATTCATTGCTTAAGTATGGTAGTTCTTGAACAGAAATGTTACTGCTTCCAAATTGGCTTGTCCCTCTGCCCCTCCCCAACATATGCTCTCCCTCTCTCTCTCAAATAAACAAACAAAATCTAAACACAAATGAACAACACACACAAAACTCTCTTCTTTATATGGCCTCAGGACTTGTACTTTATATACCATACAAAATAGAAAAGTGGAAACTGATTTTTATGTTGGCAGAAATTAAATAGGCTAAGTAATTCACATAAATTCCTAAACTAATCTGTAATATTAATTTGTTGTCTATTTTTTCAATAGCTAAATAAATTTTAGTTGTTTTCTATTACACAATATATACTCGAGTTTAAGAGCATGAACTTGGAACTACAACCCCATCTTGTTACCTCCAACTTGTGATTTTTGGAAGAGTCACATCCCCCTTCTGTTCCTCAGAGATCCACATGCAATAATAGGGATAAAAATAGTGTCTATAACAGAGTTACTGTGAACCTTAAAAGAGTTAATCTATGTAACATATTTTAGTATAGGTAGACTGTAAGCATTATAAAATATTAAGCATATACTTTTAAAATTTTGTTGTTATTTTCGATAATTTCCAGTTTCTTCTTAGGAAAGTGAACCAAGTTTAACCAAATCGTTGAATTTTAACTACATATTACACTATAGGAGTAATTGATACCAAAAATAGATACAGAGCTAGATAACCTCCAAGAAGTGCACTTGGTAATGAATAATGTAATTTACCAAAGGTGAGCTAACATTTTTGTAAAACACCACCACTTATTTCATACAACAAACCTATGAATTTGGGACTGTAATACTCTGTGCTTTATAGGGAGAAACCAAGTTAAAGGTAGATTAAATAACTTGTGAAAACAGCCAACATTTTCTACCAAATAAGATAATTCCCTGTGGCCAATATTAATTTTTAAATCACAGATTCTTTCTGCATCCATCTCCCAAGATTACCAATACACCTTCTATAAGCACATCCCCTATTCCAGAATGTACCATTCATCCTTACTTTGTGTTATCTTTGTGTGTCCTGGTACACGACGATGGGTTTCGCAGCGTCATATGTGAATATGTAAACATTTATTATAATACTGTTTATAGTGCTTATTGTTTTCTAATAAATTTTAGCACAGCAGGATAGTGGAGAGTTGGCAGAATCAGTCATGTGTTGAGATTTTGTATGCTTCTTCCAAAGAATCCAGATAGAGTTCTCAAAGAATACTAATATTATGACTCTTCAGCAGCACTGCAGATGAAGGTTTAACACCTAAACCAATCCATAGAGAAGGTCTGGTGACATATACATGGTATTTGGATTTCCATAGTCCTGGGTTTGAATCTTAATTTCTCATTCCCCTAAATGTGTGACTCTACACAAGGTCCTTCAACAATTTGGTGAAGTTTATCCATCTGTAAAATTTCATATGGTAAAATTTTATAGCAAAAAAGGTAAACTGTGCATGCTATGCCTTACTAATTTAATTGTTTTGAGTCTTCTTCAGCAAATGACAGGGAGACAGGTAATATATCAAGGGCTAGGGCTAAAACTTGTGATGGGACTTGGTAGTTTTTCAAAACAACACTTTTTTTTAATATACTGTAAGAAAAAAAATCTTGTTTATTCTTCTTTTCTTATCACCAGCAAGTCATTTCAGCGTGTATCCTAGCTTTCCATAATCTATGTCTTCTACTTCCTTAAGTCTGTTTTTTAAATCTTTATTTATAAAAATCCCTCTCTCCTTCATTTTCCTTGTAATTTATCATCCTTTTCAGGAAGAATCATTTTGAAAGAATTTTTTAAATATGTGGAAGATCCTACCCAATGAAGTTTTAATTATATGGACACAACATAGAAAACATGTTTGATCCAGTGAAAATTATCACTATTGGTGAAAGTTGGTTCTGTGAACTAACTCTGGTATGATGGCTACATGCTTGATAAAATACTAGCTAGGCAGTTGACCTTAACATCGGTGGTGTGTGAATTTCAGGGATAAACACTAGTATGATGCACTGCTAGTGCTCCAACAGCAAAACATTGATACCATACTCACCCATCCTTTTATCATTTATATTTGGCACATGACAGAGCTTCCCATAAAGGAAGGATCATTTAGATTTATAATGGCTGATTTTAAAAAGTAATAATAAGGGATGCCTAGGTGGTTGATTAAGCTTCTGACTCTGATTTTGGCTCAGGTCATGATCTCAGGGTCTGGGATGCAGCCCTGCATTGGGCACTGTGCTCAGCAGGGAGTCTGCTTGTCTCTCTCCCTCTGTGCTCCCTACTCCACCTCAACAGACACTCCCTCCTAAATAAATCTTTTTTTTTTAATTTAAAAAAACAATTTAATACTATTTAGTATAAGAGCAATAACTGAACTGATTTTGTAATTGTTTGTTCTCTGTTTCTCTTTTCAACAGGTAACCCATTATTAAGCAGTAAAGTCAACATATTGATTAATGTCTTAGATGTCAATGAATTTCCTCCAGAAATATCTGTGCCATATGAGACAGCTGTGTGTGAAAATGCCAAACCAGGACAGGTATCTTATCAATATTGCTAACTAATAACATAAAAAGACCTACTATATGCATATGTTTCAGGGTATAAGACCACACATAAATGCATGTACACACACACACACACACACACACACACACGTCAATATCAATATCAACATTGATATTGATTATGATCGAGGGATAGGTAGTTTTTTTCCCTGGTTCATATGTTTTCATAAAAAAAACCCACAGGGGATATTAAACTTATAATTACGGGTGCATTTATGGATGTAGAAGTAACATCCCAAGGGATAAAGTGATGATGGCCTAGTGAATATACTTCATATAACTAAAAAGTCTAAGATTACAAATCTGCTCTATTTTCACTCCTTTACTGTGGAATTTCTATGGAATCTGTGACCATAAACCTAGTAAGCAAACAACTTTAGAGTGTGTTCTTCTAGAGTGTTTCTTGCTTTGCTCACATGCTTTATGAAGGGGGAGCTCAGAAAAGCTCTGTAGCCCATTAAAAATGTAAGGCTTCTTTCTGTAGTGGCTTTGAGTAGAACATCTGGGTTATTCAAAATGTCTGAATTACATTTTCCTTATTAAGTCAGTATTGCTCTGGTTCTAATGGAAGATGTCATGAGGGATGACCACATGGTTATAAAAGTTACTGTCAGAATTCTAGATTTAATGTGATTGTTGGTGTTGGTGTTGGGTAGCCATTTTTTTTTTCTAGACTATTATAGATGGATGAATAAAATAACATAATATGTTATAATGTAATATGATGATATGATATAATGAATGAATCAATCATGAAAAAATGATGAGAGTATGTCGTGAAATAAGAATATGATTAGTCCGATACTGTGCACCTAAGCTTCAAAGGAAAAATATATCAGTATGCTTGGTTCATTTTGTATTTTAACCACCTTTAAATAGCATAACTATTCATTTAAGTAAATTTAAAGTTTTAATTACTACTGAAAAAATCTTGATATTTGAAATAGTATCTTTATTGAAAAAGGTTATTCTTTAATCTTCAGTATTTGTTTCAATTTGAATGTTTTATACTAGAAAATCTGTTTATATGTAGAAAAATCTGTTCCATAACCCTAATCCTGTGATGTCCAGTAGCTATGTAATTATTAAATTAAAATTAAATAAAATTAAAAATCAGTATTCTCCTTATTACTAGCCACATTTCATTTGCTCAATGGCTGTATGTAATAAGTGGCTACCATTTTTTTGTCCATTATAGATATAAAATATTTCCATCAGTACAGAAATTTCTAGTGGACTGTGCTGCTCTAGTCCTTTCTCTGATAATTTGGGGAAAGTATTAGCTTTATTACAACATGACTTATTTATAGAAAAATTTGCATCCTTAATTTTGAATAGACACAGAAATACATTAAAATGAAGTATTAACCCTTTATCACCTTAAATGGACCCACAATTTGCATGCGATAAGGCCAGTGCCCACTTCAGTATCTAAAAGAGTAGATGCTACATCAATGTTTAAACAAATAATAAACCAGTTTGGTTACTTGAGAAGTTACAAGAGGTTTTCTGAAATTCCAACTTAGCAATTTCTCACTTTCCAGATCCTTCCACCCTCACCCTCAAAACCCAATCCTCTATTTTTTTTTAGATAGTTAGGGATATTAATTATTTTATATTGATCAGACTCTTGTAATGCACCAAATGAAAGTCCTTTGGAAATAGAACTCCATTTGATGCGTCCCTGCTTGTCTGGTAAATTGAAGAGTTTAAAAAGTTGGGAAAAGTAGAAATGACCCAAGATAACTTGGTTTTCTTAGATCTGGACAAAGTGGTAAGCAATCTGTATGGGGTCCTTGGAAGCTCTTTTTCTAATAAATGCCTATTGGGTTTTCTACTGGGCCACATTTGTTCCTTGAGTTTTCGGGGAGTATGGTATGTGAGAATTTTCTGCTTTTAACCCAAGGCATTTTAGCCTTTGTCTAGGAACTATGCATAGGAACTCTCTATCTCTTCTGGCCTATAATTGGATGTATATGTATGTATGCATGTGTTATCTATCAAGAGACAAAAGAGAAAAGAGAGAAAGATGATGCTATCTAAATCAACAATAATATATATATAGTGAATTACTGAAGTAGGAGAGTTCTTTTTTTCCTTAGGGCAATGACTCCCAAGTGCAATTCCAGATAAGGGCCTGTTTATGCGAAAACTTTCTTCTCTGTCTGCTGTTTGAAAGGATATTGCTTCATTCTAAAGTTATGTTCTTGATATTTTTTGATGTTAAATAACTTTAATTTAGTAAATGGCTATGCTGCCTATAGTAGTTAAAGGCAAAACAGAACACCTGGCAAACCAATCCCCTAATAATTTACAGAAAATTAATGGATGGGATATAATGATCTGACTGAACATATGAGTTTAGGTGAAGTTACATAAGTTGAAGTTTTATAGAACTGTGACTGATTCCCTCTGCATCAGGGAACTGAAATTCTCATTAGAAAACTGATTTGTCAAAATAGAAATTACTAATATGGCACCAGGCCCTCAAAGGCACTGAATATATGCTTGTGTGTGAGTGTGTGTACATGCACTCAACTCTATGGGGAGGTAGAACATAGTAAGAAGATTGAGTTTTAGCCATGGAATGAAAACAAAAGGTCATAAATAAATTACATATTTAAAAAAATTCATGTACTTAATGGTATCAATCTAAGAACATATGATATATGCTTTTGCCCACTGTGACCAAGACACAGTACCTGAAATGTAAGGTCTTCCTTTGGTAAATTCAAATTTCATCTAAGGGAGTAACCACCTGAGCAGTACTCTACTCTCACTCTCTTCTACACACATTTCCTGAAATTCTTTCTGACACAAAGCCATTGGATATATTAATAAATGCAACCTCAAAGGTATTATAATTTGCTTATCTATGTAGTGAATTATCAATTTCACAGTTTGGCTCTCAGAAGTTATTTTTAATCTCCAAATTCTTAAGGGCATTTTCTTGAAGTATCAGAATTTTAACTACTAAACACACAACCTATGGAAGCGATTTAAGAAAAAATTTGAAACCGGGCTGCTAGTGCTTACTTCTTAAAAAAAAAAAATTATGAAAATACACTTAGTATTCTTGCTCACTGGGGAAAAACAAACATAAGGATAAAAACAGATTTACATCCTTTGTATTTCTCTTTCTCATCATTTTATTTATTTATGAAAATAAAATGCATTCTCACAAACAAAACTACACTAAAATTTTGCTATCTCAAGGGCTTTTAAATAATCAGAGATTTTCTTTCCAGTAAGCATTTTCATATTTAGGTTAGAAAGCATGTATTTTATTTAGTTTAAAATGCAAGCAAGTGAATTTTAATTTTATTTTGCTTATTAGTGAGAATTTCCAACGGTGTTTCTTAGTTATGCAGATATTGATTTGGAATTGCCCCAACTCTGTAATTTTACTTATGCCATTATGAACTGTAAATGTTTAGATATTTGTTCATAAAATTATTTGTAAATAACTGGCCCACTGATATGAATCCTAAAAATGTCATTTCTATCTCCTTGCATGCATCATCGGGTAAACTTATTAGCCTGGTGTATGTAAAGTTCCCTTTGAAACTCATGATTGACTTCAAGTTTCATCTCAACTTTGTTTCAGATAATTCAGATAGTCAGCGCTGCAGACCGAGATCTTTCTCCTGCTGGGCAACGATTCTCCTTTAGATTATCACCTGAAGCTGCCATCAAACCAAATTTTACAGTCCGTGACTTCAGAAGTAAGTTTACCACATAAAAAAAAACTTACCTCTTATAATGTAACTTTGTAAAAGGACACAAAGATAGAAATCAATGTTTTTTCTAAAAGCACTCAAGTTCATAAAATATGAAAATCCATATATAAGAAATATAAAATTCTATAGCTAGCAGTAAATTAAATATTTAATCTGTATAGATGGTATCTAATGAGGCAAATTGCTTCCATTTATAATGTGGACAGTCCCTTAATGAGTCAAGCAAAACCAGCCAATCTAGGAAACTGAATGCTTTCTATGTTTTAAATATATCATTTGTTCCACCTGCACATTACTTGCACAAACAAATGGATAACTTCTTGGTAAATGGTTTATTTGAATGACACAGGGTACAGCACAGGTTAAGAATGCAGGCTTGTAATGAGAAGGACAGAGGTTTTCTTTCCCACTCCATTATGTCCTCAGTGGCAGATTCTCAGTATAGTAAGCTATACTAAATAATTTTAAACTCATAGGTGTACTGAATCAATGGCATAGTATTTATATTAAATAAAATAATGCATGCAAATCCTTTAACACAATACCCAAGGTGATTTTAGTTACCGTCTCTACAATGATATCTGCATTTCCGTATCTGCCACCAATGCTGCTCCCATCACCACCACTGCTATTGCTACTAATACTATCAGATCTACTGGTAGACTCATAAAAATGCAATAGACACAGGATTACAAATATTAAAGCTAACTGCTGGTCAATTGTTCTTACATTATTAGTTCTGTAACTGTGGATATTTTATCCCTTCTAAATTTCCATAGTTATGAGATTGGGATTAGAAACATCTAAGTTCAGAGTATTGGATAGTAAAAAGCTAATTTCTTACTAAATTCTATCCTTAGAGAACAAATGAGCCAATTGTGATGACATGATCATGATGATGATGATGTTGGTGATGGGATGGACAGAAGTCAAAGGATGGCTGAGAAAATTTACTTTTCTGCAAATATTTAGAGGAAAGAAATCAGACATTTTGTCACAGAAGGGAATTCAGAAGAATTTGCTTCATCCAACAGTGTAATGTGAGGAATGTGTATAAAGGCAACAGGGTCCCATATATGAAAAGCCTTCTAAGTAGAGAGACCACATATTTTGTTACGAAAACTGGAACACTATAGAGTATAGAAGTGGACAATATTAGTAATTTTAATTAGAACAACTCACCTAAAATAGGGCTGTCCAAGACAAATCAGACCCTGTGCTCATTCTAACTACCTGCCATTTGAAAGGATAATAACTTAAATCCAATGACTTCAAAAGTCTTTGTAAGATTTATGAGAGCATAGGGGCACCTGGGTGGCTCAGTGGATTAAGCCGCTGCCTTCGGCTCAGGTCATGATCTCAGGGTCCTGAGATAGAGCCCTGCATGCATCTGGCTCTCTGCTCAGCAGGGAGCCTGCTTCCTCCTCTCTCTCTGCCTGACTCTCTGCCTGCTTGTGATCTCCCTTTCTCTGTCAAATAAATAAAATCTAAAAAAAAAAAAAAAAGATTTACGAGAACATAATATGTTCAGATTTGCATTAGGGAATCAGTTTGGTTGTAGTATGGAAAATATAATAGGATTTAGGATTATTTCTGAAACTATTGCAGGAGTGGGTGAGAGGATATTAAATTAGGGTAATGGCTAATGGAGATACGTGGATAGAGATAGAATTCACAGGACTTGATGCTAGATTGCCTACAGTCCTTATGTAAATACTCTGGAGAAGAAGACTATCATTCTTCCAGATCCCTGGCTTGGGCAACAAAGTAGATGGTCACATCATTCAGGAACACAGAATGACTATTTACCCCACTGTATCTTTGCTGGAAAATAATCTTTGCTGGAAAATCTATATCTGATTAATCATGATAACATGAATCAGATCATTTTGCCTCATAGCATAGTGTTTTCTCACAGCTTGAATATTGTTTGCTATTCATATGTCATTTACTACACATCTTCTTTTATCTAAAGTTATATTTTAAGTATAAGTTTTTAAAAATAATAGAAACATTTTTTAACTTCACATATTTATCTTTTAAAAAAAAATTCCCCTTGGAGCTAGAACATTTAAGTTCTCACTTAGCAAATTTCACTTCTATAATACAGTGGTATCAACTATAGTCACTGTGTTATACATTAGACCGTCAGGCCTTATTCATCTTATAATCAAGAGTTTGTATCTTTTTATCAATCTTTCCCCATTTTCTCCATCCCGGGCCCCTGACAACCACATTTCTACTGTCTGCTTTTAGGAATTCCTTTTTATTTTTTAATCTTTTTTTAGATTCCACATGTAAATGTTACCATGTACAGCATTTCTTTTCCTTTTTCTGGCTTACATCACTTGGCATAATGTCCTCCAAGTTAATTCATGTTGTCACAAATGGCAATATTTCCTTCTTTCTTATAGCCAAATAATACTCCATTGTGTGAATATATATATTTATAGTTTATATGATATGTATTAACTTTACCTCTTTCTTCAGTAGAAACTATATTAGAAATGGACATGATGTTTAATATCTTTTTTTCCCCACCATGAACAGCACAATGAATTTTATATGGTCATATTTCAATAATAATAATAGAGTGAAAATACAGTAATCCCCCCCTTCTCTGTTAGGGGATAATGGTCCAAGACACCTAGTGGATGCCTAAAACCAAACCACAGATAATACTGTACCCTGTATGTATATATATATATATCTTTTACTATAGACACATACCTATGATAAAGTTTAATTTATAAATTAGGCACAGTAAGTAACTAACAGCAATAACAATAAAATAGAACAGTTGTACAAATATGCTCTAATAAAAGTTACGTAAATAGGATCTCTCTCTTTCTTAAACTACTTCATATTGTACTCACCCTTCTTCTTGTGATGTTGTAAGATGATAAAATGCTTACATGAGTAGATGAAATGACCTTTGGACTGTACATCAGGAAATGGATCAGCTGCTTCCAGGTCAAGGTTGACTGAAATCAGAGAAAGTAAAAACATGGATGGGGGGCAGGGCTACTGTAAACTTTAACAAAAGGGTAGGATGTCCTTTGTTATAATACATTCAGGAACATTGAATCCATGGTTCCTCAAGTGCATATATATCAGTTTCTCTAACCCCTATTTTTATTAATAATTTTCACCCAGATTTCAAACTTCAGTCCTGACTGTTCCTTTTCCTCAGACTCAAGTACTCAAATCAGTTGCTGAAGATTTCAATGTTAATTCAACGAGTCCCCATTGCTTTATTCCTACTGTCATCAAAAGTACCAGGTATTACTAAGTCTCACTGGTAATATCATAATTGACAATTGGCATCTTGATGTTGTGTTTTCCAATTTAAAAAATTTCCTCTATATAATAACAAAGTCATCTTCTCATGTAAAATGATCTTTTTTTTTTTTTTTAGATTTTATTTATTTATTTGACTGGCAGAGATCACAAGTAGGCAGAGAGGGAGGCAGAAGAGAGAGGAGGAAGCAGGCTCCCTGCTGAGCAGAGAGCCCGATACGGGACTGGATCCCAGGACTCTAGGATCATGACCTGAGCCGAAGGCAAAGGCTTTAACCCACTGAGCCACCCAGGTGCCCCAAAACAGTTTTATCAAGTCAAATTTTCTCAATGAAATGAGTCTAGAGAAGCTGCTTAATTTTTAATTGTTGAATCTAGAATATACAAAGAGACAAATGGAATATTATTGAGATAGTAACATTTTTCTGACTTACCTGTATTTTAACGAGTAATATATATTTCTAAAATTAGTTTCAATGATTCCAAAGTCGATATTATGTATGGCTCTAATAAAATAAATATTAATGTGTTTTTATAATAACAAAATATTTCAAGGAGTTACTTTAATAGACACAAAAAATGAAATGGTGTCATGAATAAAACCAAATTCCCACTTCTATATGTAGAAATAAAAGAAGTAAAGAACAAATGCATGTAAAATAATACTTTTAATAGCAGTATTAATTGCATTTATATAAAAGCTAAAATATTTATTGCCTTGAATCATTCTAAGTAAATATTACTATTGTTGATTTTGTCAGAACTAAAATGAATTATTTTTGTCTTTATATTAAAATACTGATTATTGTAATTTATTATGTTTAAAATTTTAATGAATTTTTTTAAAGATTTCATTTATTTGTTTGACACGGAGAGAGAGAGAGATCACAAGTAGTCAGAGAGGCAGGCAGGGGTGGGGGGGGGGTAGGCTCCCTTTGCTGAGCAGAGAGCCTGATGTGGGGCTTGATCCCAGGACCCTGAGATCATGACCTGAGCCAAAGGCAGAGGCTTAACCCACTGAGCCACCCAGGCACTCCTGAATCTTGATGTTTCTAACACACTTTATTTTATTTTCCATTTTCCATGTACAGAGTGAAAGATGTATACACACACACACACACTCATGCACACACACACACATGCATATATACATATACATGCACAAAAGTGAAAGATATGCATATATACATCTATGCATATTTTTTTTTTACCATATAATCATAGATACAGATCTGGGAAAAATAAAAATATCAAATGCTAAATTGATATTTGTTGTATTTTAAAGAACAGGTTCTTAGATGAGATATTTTGCAGACTCATGCTTTGTAATCTCTACTCTTTCATCACGTAAGCAAACACCCACAGATACGCTTTTTTCTCAATGAGATTTTGATGTTAAAAAAAATGGGTCAACACACATGCACACAAGTGGGTTAACACAGCATACCTCTAGTCTCATAAACAGTTTTATATTCTTTCTGAATTGAAAATTTAATTCTTACACCAGACAAGATTAATGTTTCTTCTTTTCTTAAGGGTTAGTTTGATTGCATTTGATTCCTTTTGGCAGCTTTCATAATAATAAAAGAAAGAATTAAAATACGGATACCTTTTTGCTGATGCAAGAAGAGATTCCTACTGTTTAACTTATACCAAATTGAAGATCTGAAGCGAAGCTTTTAGTAACCCTCTTACCACAAATGTCATGTTTTGTAGACAACACAGCTGGAATTGAAACCCGAAGAAATGGATACAGCCGCAGGCAGCAGGAGCTGCATTTCCTCCCTGTTGTAATAGAAGACAGCAGCTATCCTGTGCAGAGCAGTACAAACACAATGACTATTCGAGTTTGTAGGTGTGACTCTGATGGGACCATCCTGTCTTGTAATGTGGAAGCAATTTTTCTACCTGTGGGACTCAGCACTGGGGCTTTGATTGCAATCCTACTGTGCATTGTTATACTCTTAGGTTGGTTTCAATATTAATCACATATTCTCTCTCTCTCTCTCCATCTGTCCCCATCTCCTCTTGCCTGTCTCTTCACAACTGACCGTGTAAATCAGGTTTTCTTCATGAAGATGTCACATCTGGATAGAAGGAAGATGGTCTCTATTGAATGATATTTTTATTAATGCTAATTTTCTAATATCTAAATATCAGAACACAAAACTATGGTCAAGCCCTTGGGGATTTTCAAATAATAACAGCTGGTGGCCCTTGCCACAGTGAAATTTTCTGTAACAAACATCCCACGTACGGCAGTGGGTTTTTTAAAGTGTTTTTTTTTTTTTAATTCATTGTACATTCCAGTAATTGTTGCTACCTAATAAGATATTATATAATCTTCAAAAATATACTACATGAACAGTAGCTCTCAAATGCCAGTTCAATAACAGAAGAAAAGGAAAGAACAGGAAAGAAGTGAGAGAAAGTGAAAACACCCCCAAGTTTGCTTTTTTTTTTCCCCTGTTTAAACTGCCAGCCAAAAGCAGTTCTTATCCCACTTTTCTCACATCTCCTCACATCAAAATTCTAACCATTCCCACTAGAACACCACACACTGAAATATCTAGAAGCATTGCAAAGGAAAAAGGACTGAGGTAATGTATTCTGTAACCTCTCTGTAAGAATTAATATAAATCTACTTTAGGGGTTTCCCTCTTCCTTCAATTCTGTTCAGCTGGTTCCCTTCACTTATTAATTCACTGGCAGATTCACAAAACCAGAGAGCTTTTCTGTTTTGCCAGTCCTTTCTTTAAATTCAAATGGAACAGAGGTACAATTGGGCATCGTGGAATCCATTTATACATGCTTCACAAATGTAGGTACACACCTCCATCTTAAGATTAAAAAACCAAAAACCAAAAAACTAGGATGTAAAGCATGGAGTAAGGCATTACATCATAGTTTATGGAGAACATTCTCCAAGTGAGAAGCTCATGTTAGTTTGCAGATTGAAGTTCCAGTCCAATTTGCTTGGTATCGACATTAATTCCACACAAGTGACTCTCGTATACAGAAGAAAAGTTTCCTTTCTGTCCTTATAATTCATAAGAAGTTAGCACTGGTATCTGTTTGTGCTGATGATATGAACCTTAGAAGGGAGGATTCAGAATAATATTTGTATATCTGAAATCGAACACCAGCAAGCAGGTGTTTAACCTCAAATCAAATGTTATGTTTTAATGCTTCTTTCCTGTCTGGGAGCCACCTGAGTCCCAGAGTATTTCCACATCCACCTAGCATGACTTGGCATGTTCTGGAGGCTTACCTTTGGCCTCTCTGGCCCTCTTACAGTATAGTGAGTGATCTTGCTCAGGTCAGCTGCAGTGTCCACAGTGCACCTGCACACTTCCAGCGGGAGCTGGCCAGGATACAGCTGGGAATGGTGGCTCTATGAGTCCTGCCATGGGGTATGCTTAAAAATCCAACTATTCTTGGACTTCCTTAACCAATCTCAGACTCCTTCAGATCTTTCCACTTATCCTTAGCCATTTTCCTATCTTTCTTGGGATGAGGGGAAGCAAGAGTGCCTTGTGGTGTCTAGGAATCTGGTAGGGGTCCCCTAGTAGGGCCCTTCTCTGTCTCAGCACTCCAAAGCCATTTTATATGCAGGGCATCTCTGCGACACTTGTAGATTCTCACCCACTCTCTGTGTGAGCAATCATCTTTTTAGTTTTTGGATTTCCCTAAGTGCTGGGAGGAGTTAAGAGGTCTAAACACCTCTTTAAGGCCTGTTGTCCAGGACCTCTACCTAGATATCCTCCCTCTTTCCAGTTGGTCAAACTTTAGTTTTGGAGGAAGAGGGAATAAATGAGCTTTCACCATCACTCAACCTTCTCTAATTCCTAATTTTAGGATGAGAGTCTTCTAGACCCTGCTGTAGTACATCAGACACACTTTGGCTTCCAACCTATTACCACCTCTGTGAAGGAGAGGGGCTTTTAGGATGAGCAAAGTTGAGCACTGATTTCATCATTTGAATCTATGCCCATCCACTTCTAGAGGCAATAAACTCCCCCCCCGTTTTTTTTTTAAAGATTTTATTTATGTATTTGAGATAGAGCAAGAGAACATGAAAGCATTCACACTTGAGGTAGAGGGAGGAGCAAAGGGAGAAGGAAAAGCGGACTCCTTGCTTTGCAGGCACTCTGACATGGGGCTCAATCCCAGGACCCCTAGATCATGCCCTGAGCTGAGGGCAGACACTTAACTAACTGAGCCACCAAGATGCCTGGAAATAAACACTTCATGATTTATAAAATGAAGGCCCTTATACTAACTACACTCTTCTTTCCTTCCTTCTTTTCTTCCCCTTTTAAAATTTATTGCTTTTAATAGTTATTGTATCATGAAGATTTGGGTTTCTCTTAGAAATATAAGTGATTGTTGCAACTGGGAAATCTAGCTATGAATAATATGTGTTATTTATGGGCTCTAATATTCAAGTTTTATTATACCACCACTATACAGCTCTCTGTATGCTTACAACAACTATTCCTTTAAAAAAATTGTGACACACACTTTTTAACTGATACTAAAATTTTTAGATATAACATAAGTTAAATATAAGACTGTAATTGCTTGGTTTTGTGAATAATTTGGCTAAGATTTGTTAGCTACAATTTCAAAATGAATTTGAGTAAACATAGATATGATCCTTTTTGTGTAATATGCTTACTTTGAAAATAATATGTTGGCCAGCCCTGATTGATTTTATGGAGATATGAACTACACATTCTCAACTTGCAATTTTTGTCTTCTAGCCATAGTTGTGCTGTACGTAGCTCTGCGAAGGCAGAAGAAGAAAGACACTTTAATGACCTCCAAAGAAGACATCAGAGACAACGTTATCCATTACGATGATGAAGGAGGTGGGGAGGAGGACACCCAGGCTTTCGACATTGGTGCTCTGAGAAATCCAAAAGTGATTGAAGATAACAAAATTCGCAGGGATATAAAACCAGACTCTCTCTGTTTACCTCGTCAGAGGCCACCGGTGGAAGATAACACAGACATACGGGATTTCATTAATCAAAGGCTACAGGAGAATGATGTGGACCCAACCGCCCCACCATACGATTCATTGGCAACATATGCGTATGAAGGAAATGGCTCAGTAGCAGACTCCCTTAGCTCTATAGACTCTCTCACCACAGAAGCGGACCAAGACTACGACTATCTGACAGACTGGGGACCCCGTTTTAAAGTCTTGGCAGACATGTTTGGTGAAGAAGAGAGTTATAACCCCGATAAAGTCACTTAGGGCAAAAGTGAAGGATAAAACACAACCAAAAGGAGACATTTAAGAAAAAAGAAACATAAGTAGAAATCACACACACACATACACATACGTGTACACACGTGCACATACACACACACATACACACACACACACACACACACACACACACACACACCAGGCTTTATAGGACACAATCCTTTGTTATCGGGTTTCTAGCAAGTTGCTATATTTATCATATTGTCAGTTTTGGTTTTTTTTCTGCCAACACAAGATAAATCCTGTTATGTGTACTTGCTTGGTTTTGTTTGTTATTTTGGAAACACACTGAGACAAGCTCAGGCCTATTAAATACGATTTACTGACATGACAACTTAGAACGAAGATAGCTATGTGGCATCACGGTGGAAGAGTGTTAGATTTTTCTTAATTCCACTAAAGTGCCTATTGAAACTCTTATCATTTAAAATTGTGTACAATACACTCTGCTGTGATGGCATTGCAGGATTCAGAGATACAGAGGACAGAAAACAGAGACACTATCTTTATGTCAAGGAGCAATAGCGACATGCTGACTTCTAATTCCTCTTGAGGAAAAGAGAAGAATACTTTCTGAACTCCATCTTCTTATATTCAGAGTTTCTTTTTTTCTTTTTTAAACTGTATGCCAAAACACATTTGTTTTTCCTACCCTTTCAGAAAATTGAAATAAATGAGAAACTATCAAATTCATTATGTAAGTCCTGAATTTTAAGAGCAATGTTTGAACTTAACATTAGTTCATATTAAAGGTGTTCAGTAAAATGTTCCTTTTTTTTTTCCAAAAAAAAAACAATTAAAAAAAGGAAGTTAAAAAAATCCCTCTTGATAAAGAGAGGCCTCAGGGCTGAAACTCCACATTAAAATAAATATTGGTTCTGTCTTCATACTGTGCTGGTGTGTGGAAAGTTGGTTTTAACAAATCACCAGATTATGAAAGTCTTCAGTCACAGATAACATTTTTAAGTTGTGTCTCCATAAAATTTTTTTAAGGAAAAAAGTGCCATTAATTTAAACATGGGAAGAGAAATTCGTTATATAGCTTCTCAGAGTTTCTTATAAACTAGTCATTTTTTTTGTCAGCAAAGACAATTAAAATACATATACAGGATGGATTTATAGCATGTCTAAAAATATTTATTATATATTACCAAACAAATGAAAAATCAGGGATTTCAGAAAAATCAAACCAGTGACTAATTCCTAAAATAAATGCAAATGCAAAATCAAGCAGTTGATTTACTTATTGAATTAACATGGACTTCAACTTTGTAGACATTATTATTATACCAGATCTCACAGTTAATTCTTTATGTGATCATCTACAATAATTCCACTATAAAGGATTCTATACAATTCCTGTGCTCTTAAAGAAATTTTACTTTTTAATTTGATGCAGATTTCTGAGAATTGTTAGATTTTATAAGCCTACAAGTAAACTACACTCGTATACTTTACTCTCCAGTGAACTGTACAGTATCTAGAAATGCACTTAACAAAACAGATAACTATGAAGTGATAATATATTTTCTTAATAATATAATTATACATGTGACTACTGAACTATTTAAGACTATCTACGGGAAAAAAATAAAGGTTGCTTATAAGATCCATCCTGAAAATGTGGTCAATACCTAGCTGTATTTATGAAATATTTATGAATATATATATTTGCAAAATTATAAAAGAATGCACACATGGGAAAAATGGGTAGAAATATAGATAGTATAGGCAAGTTATAGTCAGTCCTATTTATTCTTAAGTCTTACTTCAAACATATATAAGTGATAATTATATGGTGGCAATTTGGCTGTTTGCATTTGCAGTTCACATCCCTGTTTTGGTGTCACATAGTTACACACTTTCCTTGTTTTCCTTACCAGAAACAATGACTGACCTGCTTCCTCTCTGCTCCCAGATTTTACCTGTGTCTCATCTCTGGGAACTTCGTTAGAATATTCATGTACTGTAATAATTCACAGCATGATATGCTTTGGGAAATATTTATGTATTTTTAAAAAGCTGGCAATGTATGAAGGCAACATCTGGGTTTGTCCTAGCCACACAATTTACTATGCAGTGATGCATGACCCCTTGAAGAAGGTTAATATGCAAGATCACTTCCAGCTGACAGCAGGATTCTTGTCAGGAGCGGCTGCATTTTGTATCTTGCTCTAAGTGTTCTGGAGGCAGTCATAGATAGGAAGCAATGATGGTACAAAGAAAGCTTGGGAAGGGCAGGTCATTTCAAACCCCATGACTGAGATGCTAAGCAAAAAGGTAAAATTAGTCTTGATTTTGTCAAACTAATTAGTTTTTGTTCTGTACTTCTATCTCTTATTTCTGCTACACTATTGCAATAGTTTGTTAGGGCTGCCGTGACAAAGTACCACAGACTGGGTGGCTTAAACAACAGAATTGTATTTCCTTGTGGCTCTGGAAGCTGGAAGTCCAAGATCAAGATGTCAGAAGAATCGGTTTCTTCTAAAGTCCTCTCTCTTTGGCTTGTAAATTTTCTTTCTCCTGGCTTGGCCATTTTCTGTGTCTTCATATAGTCTTCCATCTGTGCTAATTCCTCTTCTTTTAAGGGCACCAGTCATACTGAACCCCCTCACATGACCTCTTTTTAACTTAATTAACTCTTGAATGCCCTATTCTTTAAACACAGGCATATTATGAGGTACTGGTGATTAGAACTTCAAAATATCAGTTTTAGGGGGACATAATTCAGCCCCTAAAAGCCACACAGATGTTAACAGCAAATTAAATATATATACGTAGGTGTACACACACATATATACACATTTGTTGTAAATTATACACACACACACACACACATAATTTACAACAAATGAGGAAAGAAATTTGAAAAGAAATAACATCAAATGGAAATAATTTCAGATACAGTAGGAAATCAGAGGAGTGATATGGTGAAAAGAGGTCTCTTGGTCCTCAAAAATTGGAATTATTATGGGTTATCTTTTAGAGCATTCAATACTTGTATAATCTTTTTTAATCTTTTAAATTTTTAAATTATTTTTAATCTTTCTTTTAATTTTTAATAAACAGTTCCTGGCCTTCATTCAGGAATTAAACAATACTTTGAAAAGGATTAGAATTTACATGGGGAATTTTGGCCATTAATAACAATCATATAAAACTTCTGAATTACATTATAGATTTACCTTTGCAGAAATATATATGCACATACTATATGTAACATATGTATGAGATATATATATATATAATGCAATCTTTGTGCCCAAAAAAGTATTAGATCAACATATAAGAGTGAAACAGTGTAATATACTAAAAGTAATTTAAATTTCTTTTGTAGCATATTCTATCACTAACTGGAAATGTGCTATGGGGTAAGCACCTTTGCCTCCATGTTCTATTCTCTTTGGTAAAATTAGTTTGTTGCCCTTGGTATTATCTAAGTTTCTTCTGTAATATCTTGATGCTTAAGTTCTAGCTACAATTACAGGAGTCTATTAAATTATTTGCATACTGATTACATAAAATTATGCAAAACATAGGGATTTTTAAGATATAATTAACAAAAATCTTTGAAATATGGATTTAACTAATTATGCATTGGCTCACCATGTACCACATATGGAGAGCTGGGAAAATATTTCCTAAGTTATAACTGTCAAAATTCTTCAGCAAAACAATGAAAGAATGCTTAAAAGAGAAAGATCCTTAGCCAAAGAGGAAAAACAAGTGATGGGAAGAAAAATGTTAGAAGGACGTGTCTCTTGTTCCTTGTCTTTAAGAGGAGGATATTTTAGAAATCCTTGGCAGTTTTAGTAACTAATGTACTAAAATGGGTATTTTTAAAAGCAGGTATAAAAATGCAGGGATATTTGAAGTGGGCCCCCAACTATGACTAGGTATGAAAAGAGTTACTGAGATGTCAGTAACAAGATCAGTCTGTTTCCCAAGAAAAAAAGGTGTGGGAAGGTGACAATTTTACAACCCCATTTTGAAAACTTCTATTGCCTCCTCCTCTAATTCATAGTTTAGCTAGCTATGCAATTCTCATTTGGATTAAAAAAAATATTTTGGAGGTGTTTTCTATCATATTCTGGCATCCAACCCAGGGATGAATGTATCACTCCTTCCTTTTATGTGATATGAATTTTTTTTTCATGATGATATTCAGATTTTTTTTTCTTATCCTTTGTGTTATGAAATGTCACACTGATGTATCAAGGTGAGTCTTTTGTCATTCTCTGGACTAGACACCCAGGGTGTCCTTTCAATATAGAGCCTCAGATCCTTCAGTTCTGGGAGATTTTTTGTATTTATCCTCTGATAGGTTCCCACCCAATGTTCTCCTGTTCACTCTGGGATTTTTAATAGTTGGCTGGATGTCTTAGGGCTAAGAATTAAGTGCATTATCTTTTAACTCTCACTATCTTATATTTTTATCCCATTGTCATGATTACCTTTTCATCTTTGTCTTCTAGTTCTTTTTTTTTTTTTCCTTCCAGTTCTGTTGATAAACTTTCCAGTGATATTTTTTTCTGATTTCAGGAGCTTGGTGGTATAGTGTTCTTTTCTGCCACTTTTCCTGTTATTCCGCTCTTGTTTTTGGATAGTTTGTTTCTTTATTTCCTCTGATAATGTTAATTTTAGCTCTTCTTAAAAATTTTTGTAACTTTTTTTCCCTCTGAAAATTGTATATCAAATAGATGGGGTAAGAGAGAGATAGACATTCATTTTAGCTTATTCTATTTTGATTCATGTCTCATTCTAGTTCTCTGCCATATTTGATATGTCCAAGTCTTAACATATGATGATAAGAAAGGTTCTTTACTGTACTGCAACACTGGTTCTCTAATATGCAATTTTATACCTAATTTCATTAATCACTATTTCTTTAGCCTTCCAATAGTTTGCTCAAAATGCTGGTCTGCTAATAGGCAATATGCCATTCTCTCTTTTGTTGAGGGGATGCACATACACAAACACACACACAAACGAATACATATGCATATATGTATAATTTATAAATATTTTTCTATAAAGAATATTTGTATCTCTATAGAGAAATG